TCCTTCACCCATACTTAAAGTCATACAACATAATTCATCTGCTACACAATCTTAACCTTTGTTGAGACATCTCTGCTTTTCATTAGGTGAAATGGTGTTTGTGTAAAAAAAAATGTACAGACTTGAACTTCAGAGGTAGCCTGCATGGGAGGCAAATACAAAAATCATGTTGTATTATAAACTCTATTGCTTTGGTGTCTACCTCATTATAATAAGGAATACTGAGTGTCAATAATCATTTATTATACAATCCTTTTCGTCTTTTTCTGCATTTTAAAATGAATAAATAACAGTAATGAGTTCCCTCTTTTTTTCTCGTGCAGCCCGGGCTGACATGAAAACAGACAGCTATACTGATCATGCTGCAGTGGAATCAAGACAATGATTCAGGAAACAGGGCCGTGCACGTTAAAACAAAACAATCAGATATGCGCTGAACATTAGTATGGTATAGAGGGATGGGTATGAAGGTTATTGTTTCAAAACTATTTGTGCATTGTAAGTGTGAATTTGAAGTTGTAGAGAGAGGTATATACAGTTTTTTTATTTGTTAAAAAAAAATCACAAGCACATATTTTGTTTTACACCTGTTCAAATTTTAAGCACAGAAATAAGTAAACAAATTGTGTTCTACAAGTTGGACATCTAAAACTTCTTGCATTCATCTTCTTTTGCTCCAATTGGTCCAAAGATATTGTGGCAAAACTATTTGTGCATTGTAACTTTGTTGTTTTGTAGATTTTTGTAATCTGTCCCAATTACAAAAAAAGTTATACCTCTTCAAATTCTACAATTGAGTTGAGTACAAGTACACAACCTATGTTCTGTGAGTTGCACATCAAAAATGTATTTCATTCAGTTTTGCTACAGTTGATCTAAAACAAATGGTGCAAAAAAAAATTCAAACATGTGTATTAAAATTATATTTTTTCTAAAAAATAATTTCCCTTCATTTTTTTGCGTTTTCCTTGGCTGTGCCTCTTCCAATATATTTATGTGGTTGCTATATTTTTTGTCCAATCCAATGTCAGTCTCTGTGTGTTGCTATGTCAATCAAATCTGCCCAGGGCCTTCAGAATCAGCAATGCGGGCTGATGTTACCCAAACAATATTAGTTAGGAATGTTTTCTTCAACCAATCAGTTTTCTGATTTGCCCCACAGGGCCAGCTGGCCAGCTCACCCCTACATCAGCATTTTCTGTCCTCTGATTGGCCAGTTAGAGCAAAATATTTACAGCCAAGTTAAGCTAGTGACATTCTGCCTCAATGGCTGATACTATATGCAGATATCTATCTATATCTATCTATATGCAGATAGATATATGACTTTCTGCATAAAGACAGAATGATGGATTTTGTTTATAAATAATCAGCATCACTAATGAGTATGAGTAATGAGTATCTTAATATACTGTATATATCTTGATATACTGTATATATATTGTTTATTCTTAAGGCACCTTTTCCTCCTTGTTTGCACCTTCTTTAATTACTATGCCAATATGTGACCAGTAAATTTCTCCGCTGTGAGATCAATAAAGCTCTTCTAATCTAATCTAATCTACTATGATTATAAAGCTATATGCCTTAATTTATCTGGTAATTAGATGCATGTTGAATCTAAAGGGCTACTAATGATGTAAATGTGGCAAAGCTGGTATAGAGTAGAGGATTGTCGATGTCTTAACTTGGCTTCTTGTTTAATTTATCTCTATATTCATCCTCATGCTAATCTAGTGAGTTATTTTTTTTAAGCAACATTTCCAACATGGGTAAGAATTAGTAAGAAATTTGTAAGAAAACTTTAAAACCTCTTGTTTTTTCAATCAGATACTTTTATGGTTTCCACAATGGAGTTACAGGTGTAAGTGAAGCAGTATGCAGTGCTATAAAGCATTTACACCACAAGCATGAACACAATGGTACAACAGAATTTAAGACGTATTTTTATTTTAAATATTTTTTTAAAATTCATAAATATATTTTATCAATGTAAGCAGAATTAAAAAGAAAAAAAAAGAATTTTCACACCTTAGCGTGGATCAGTCATTTTTGTAACTGATCAAATCTGCAGTCTGTTAAAATAATACACAAACACTATTATGGCAAGACTTTAGTTATAACATAAAAAGGTATGTTTGATCCGTTTGGGGGTATGTACAGTAATTGTAAACAATAATAACATAACATCCCCACACATGCAAATATAATGCTTCTGTCATTTCAATGAGGAACACAGTTCCTGCAGATTGAAGTGACTTGACATAAAAATTTTTCTTGGGTGTGAATTTTCAGCTTGTCCTATTAAAAAAAGGGGTTATAAAACATAAGCTTACTAAGTTCTAAAATAAAAACATATTGTTTGAGGTCTAGCGTAGAAACTGTCAAAAAAAATCCTAAATAATGAACTTATGTTGCCTGTAACATGTTTTCTTTAGACAGAGCACAGCTGATTCTTAAAAGCTTGATTGTAGATGAATGAAAGAGAAGAGTGAAGAATTTAGAGACAGACACTTAACCCACTGAAACAACTAATTGTAACTGCAAATAAATTATCTTTTAATGCTCTGAAGCTTAATTTTTTCTTTTATTTTTCATTTTTTTATTTGAAATGTTTAGATTGGAATATTTGGAGTGACCATCATCATTCCTTACAAGCTCTGAAACTCAGAATGTCTAAAATAACATTGAACAGCAGCAAATCTACACCTGATCAAAGGCGAATCAAGGTTTGTTCATTGCTATTTTTCTGCTTCTGCTAAAGGGAAGCTTAAACTGAACTGAAGGTGCTATAACAGATCCTTCCCCCCTGAAACACCAGATTCCATTTAGACGTTGGTTGTTTCAAATCCTAGTTCTGTTATTTCATTGTCATGGCATGTTTCAGCTGCCTTCTCCTTTCCCCTATTTCAAGGGCAACAAGTTGGCCATCAGCTGTCACATTTTCAGGCACAGAACTGTTTGTCTAAGTTAGTGTTGCACCGATACCGATACCAGTATCGGACGGGGCCCTGATACTGGCCTAAAATGGTGG